TAGAAATATGACAAAAACACTCTTTAGCCGAAAATGGAACTTAAAATGTGCCATATTCGTCAGATTGAGTTTTTCTATGCTCAACAAAATGTATTTGTCACTTACCAAAAATGCGCATAAAAAGAAAATACCAAAGTACGAAAGCCTAATAGTGTCAAATAAAATTAAAAATAAAAATGCGAAGGCGTTATAACGCGAATAAAGGCATTATTACGCGAAAAAAAAGGCGTAATAACGCGAATAAAGGCGTTATAACGCGAATCAAAAGGCGTAATAACGCGAATAAAGGCGTTATATAACGCGAATCAAAAGGCGTTATAACGCGAATAAAGGCGTTACTACGCCTTTTCATTCGCGTTATAACGCCTTTATTCGCGTTATTACGCCTTTTGATTCGCGTTATAACGCGAATAAAGGCGTTACTACGCCTTTTGATTCGCGTTATAACGCCTTTATTCGCGTTATTGCGCCTTTTGATTCGCGTTATAACGCGAATAAAGGCGTTACTACGCCTTGTGATTCGCGTTATAACGCCTTTATTTGCGTTATGACGCCTTTTGATTCGCGTAATAACGCCTTTATTCGCGTTATAACGCCTTTGCATTTTTTTTTATTTTATTTGACACTATTAGGCTTTCGTAGATTAGTATAAATATGGTATTAAATTGGCATTATAATGTGTTTTAATTTGCGTTACTACGCCTTTATTCGCGTTACTACGCCTTTTGATTTGCGTTATTACGCCTTTATTCGCGTTATTACGCCTTTTGATTCGCGTTATTACGCCTTTATTCGCATTATTACGCTTTTTTATTCGCGTTATAACGCCTTTATTCGCGTTATTACGCCTTTTGATTCGCGTTATAACGCCTTTATTCGCGTTATTACGCCTTTTGATTCGCGTTATAACGCCTTTATTCGCGTTGCTACGCCTTTATTCGCGTTATTACGCCTTTTGATTCGCGTTGCTACGCCTTTATTCGCGTTCTTTAGCCTTTTGATTCGCGTAATAATGCCATTATTCGCGTTATAACGCCTTTTCATTTTTATTTTTTATTTCATTTGACACTATTAGGCTTTCGTATAGTCCTGATCTACTATGACAAAATTAATTATTTTCTATAATTTCAACGTGAAATTCACTGTCCACTGAAAAGCATGTAATAGATAAATATAAATCTTTATTTTATGCTTTTCAATTGAATACCGATTTATCCGTGAAAATAATATTCGATAACTTCACACTTTTCAATGAAAAAAAAAAAAACAACAAATATCCACAATACAATTAACATGTTTATTCAAAGTAAACAACACTCATAAATGTTTACGATTGATATTTTTAGCGATTCACATAATCGTTATTTAGTCGATTATAATCGAATTGCTTCAGAAATATATGCTCTTGGCTTTTTTCATGTAAGTTCTGAAAGCATACAAGATTTATTTAAAAAAAATGAAAATGTTTCCAACATGTTTTATGTATAGGAAAAGTATCAAATAATGAAACCTTATTATAACACACGCAAATCAAAATGAAAATCATAAATCAAAATTGAAGTAAAACATAAATATTTATAAAACGAAGTATTTAGCTAGTAAAGAAAAAGTTAGAGATTCTAGTCTGAATAGGTTATAAAAATAGATTCTTCAAGTACTAGGAAAATATTGCTCGGGTAAATCATGTTAACTTATTTGAAACTTATTTACAGCAGGTGTGAGATTTAAGTGTGTTTTATAATAACATTCGATAAAATATTAACATTTCAATATTCAAGGCAAAATAAGATATCAAAATATCTTTGAAAAACACTGTGGCGCCGTTTTATGTCGCAACGCCGCTAATTGTCGCATTTGTCACTAAATGTAACACCATTGCCGCTAAATGTCGCAACTGCCGCTAACAAACTCCTCACAGTGATTACCTCCCTTTGCATATGCTGTCAAACAGTTTACCAGTACTTCGCAAGGTACTTATTACTTGGTAACTTAGTCTTTAATATACGGATCGTCGCTGGTTTTATCCAGGTTCCCGTTCGTGCCGAGAGGCACCAGAGGTATTTCTTCAAATACTGAAAAGTCACTATATGTTCTTACTTTGTTGGTGCGATGTAAAATCCAACAAAAATCTATTTGTATCAGACAGCTTATTTTGTGTATATTGCTGTAAGTACTATCGTTCTACAATCTGAATATATTTTTAGGTTATACGAATTTATTTTAGTTCCATTTTGTTGGCAGCTCTAAGCGTATTAAGGGGGCAGGGGACCTAAAAATGAACAATTTTGTATTTCAGTGTGGCCAGAAACACAATTCCAAATATTTCAAAATCTTTTTTCACAAGCAGATAACCATTTGCATAACATTATTCAATGATATATGACATAGATTGAAGAAAATAATAGTTTGCATGCATTGCTCCTTATAAAAATGACTGACAGCAATTTATATTTACTCCCACCCAGCCAAAATCACACCTAAAATATGCCAATATGGGCAATCTTCATAAGGTGCAGCATACTCAAGAATCCGCCCGATCTTAAAAAAATATCTCTAACGCACAGTGTAAGCAATGGTATTTTCAAAAATGACCAATAAAGTGTATGTCATACGTTTAGATTTTTCACAAAATTTATCCGAAATTTCTTACTTGTTTGGCGCCAACTGTCAAAGCTTGATTTTTAACCTTTTCACCTCCATTCGGAGAGTCACAAATACATACAAAGCTACCGAAATGCTTAGCTTCGGGTAAAACCCCAAAAATACTTCTCATTTCCTACACATAAACAAAAAAGAATTACAATGACAGAGAAATATCAGATGTTTCCAGTACCATCAAAACACCATGTCTGAGTTATTAAAAAATTTGACCGGGGCCATCATTCGGATATGTCCCCTGTTCCCTTAAAACACTGGAACTGTAACCAACCAGTGTGGGACGTTTTTTGCTTACGGTAAAAACGTCTCAACCCTGTCTGTAGTCTCATTAATAATCTTATTACAAACGATGAGTTAAAGAACTAATAAAACAATAAATTATTAATTATAATTCGGTCGTCTACGGTACACGTACGCTCGTGTGTGCGTGAGTGTGCGTTTGTGTATAATTGTGTTCGGCTTAATTGCCTGTGTCACCAGGATCACTTCCATTTTATTTCTGCAGGTCTTATCGTTATGCCACAGCTAGCTGCTATTTCGTAAGGATTTCATACTAAATAATGCAATAGAACATAACCTAAAACTCAGTGACCATCTACAATTGTGCCCATGCTTGAACTCTAGCTTTATGCCTTTTACCAAAATGGCTCAAAAATTATATTAATGTCAGTCATTACACATGTTTGTGAAATGTATTAAGGTTTGCTACGTAGCATACACAAGTTTACCTACGTCTGGCATATATAAGCGAGCTATCATTTTAACTACCACATTTTAACACCTTGTTTTTTTTTCTAAAACACATTCGTCCTTTGAGACTACATATCCACAAAGTCTTGCATTTATTTCAACGGCATCAAAATATCAGAAATGGGATACATAAAATAATCAGATATCTATTTTAGAATCTTTTAAAACAAAGTTTTTCTTTACAATGAACTGCTACTGGCATCCGTGCTTAAACCACCGAAAATGCGATTGAATTTGGTTGTGTTGACTGGTCAATTAACGCGCAACAACTTCCTATTACATCGCTTGTTGCCATTAATAAACGTAGAATCAAATAATGTTATTTTCATCTTGTATAATCATCAGCTCGTCAGGTTAGACCAATAAGTGAACTGTCTGCCATTCTCCTTCGATTGTCAAGATGATTTAGATAGAGAAGTTTAAAAGCATAAACTGTTCATGATAATACTTTTTTACTGGTAATGAATGAAAAGAAAGAAAAAAGTGGGAAAAAAAATCAGGTTTGTTTGCACCAATGAACTTTATAAAACTAATCCAATTTTGACAAAAAATGAACCTAGATAGAATAATACCTATACTGTAATACATATAAAACATGTTTGTAGATGAAAAAATACTGATCTAAAATCAAAATTAAACTTGAATCTTTCTGGAATAATCCTCTGGTTTGAACCCACGACATCTGGATTGTTAAATTAAAAAAGTATACAAATGCGTTTTATCACCGAGGGGCCCTTTGGCATAAATAATGATCGTCAATTTATAATACCGACAAGGATTACTTTAGTTTCAACCAATGTTTTAGACATCACAGCAAATCTTTTCCTATCTGAGAGAAAGCTGATCCCCAGTTCACTTACATAACTTTAATATTGACATAATACCAGTTTTTGTACATGAATTTAGATATTGCAACAGTTAACGGTGATGTTGTGACATTTAACGGTAAGGTAAAATCGTGCGACATTTAACGTTACAATTGCGACATTTAACGGTATAAGAATTCGCGACATTTAGCGGTGGTTGCGACATTTAGCGGAAGTGGTGCGACATTTAGCGAAAATGGTGCGACATTTAGCGGCAAGTGCGACATTAAGCGGCGTTGCGACATATAACGAAGCCACAACAACTCCAATCATATCGTATACATGGACAACGACAACGAACAGAAGGACATTGTTTAGATTATTTAACTCATATTCTCCGACGTGTACACTTATGTCCTTTATATATTTAAGACAATCCAAATTATTGATTAGTGTCTCCAGAGATGACAATAAAATAAAAATTCTACTATTATGTAAGGACATTTTATCTAAATATGAATTTAAAATGCCATTGTATTAGATGCGTGCTTGCCAATAAAAATGTTGTCATCGTATTTGTATCGACAAAACACAATAATAACACAACACTTTAACTTTAACTAATGAGAGCGAGAAATAGATAAAAATTTGGATTACAAAGCAAAGGGAGACAGCAGTAAATAAAAACGTGGAAAAATAACACCAACAGTATGGCGATACATTATATTGGACTGTCTGTTTGTTTTGGGGTGGTTTTGTTGTTTTTTGGGGGTAGGGGTAGGGTGTTAGGACATGTACTAGACCAACGTTGAGGGGGAATGCCAATTCAATAACACTTAGCAAGATTTAGAGTATGTTTCTTTACATATTTTATTTCTTATTATGGAACCCTTCCGAAGACTTGCAAAATCTAAATCCTAGAGCTTTTAGACAAGAAGATTTATCAATTTTATCACATTATCCTTTCAGATATTCCACTTTTGAGTTCGCGCATGATGTATATACTAAATAATGTTTGAAAAGTTGATCAATTTCTAAAGACGAGATTCAATGCAAATAGTTTTAAACAATTTTGTTTATATTCAAGGTGATATAATCAATTTTTGACTTCTGTGTTTAGAAATGACGTAAAAGCTTCCAAATTTGTATAGAGATAAATTGGATGTGAAATTTCTGAGTTTAAGTAGCAAGGAGTGACATCAGACTCATCTTTTTGAATAACAAAAATTTTTTTCAATTCCTTTCTGCTGCCTGCCTCAATCTGACTCATTATAGCCATATTGATTGTATATGCATACAAAGGTTCATCATAATTTTTTGTTAAAACAATTAGAATAACTCGTGACCTATAAATCGCTTCACCTATTTTGTAAAGATTTAAACCAGTTTCTCCTTCTGAAGTTAATAATAAGAATTCTGTGTCGTCAACAAGTGTATCCAGAATATTTTTCTTTACGAAATAATTGTCATCCTCTGAATAGATAACTTTAATAGGTATTCTATTATCTGAATCATGAAGTTCTTGGTAATCAGGCGGGATAATGGTTCGAATTCTTTTAAAATAATCATGAATTCTTCTTATATATTTGCGAATGAGAACAGTCACCACTGTTACTACAATGATGAGAAATAACGTTATTGAAACTGTAATTATTACAAGATAATTTGAGCATTGAGAGCGAAGGCGTTCATAATCAATGTTTGCAATAGATATAGTTGAGGAATTTTCAAAGGTACACATAGTGTCTTCTATGTGTAGTAATTTGTGCTTGTTTCTTTCAACCCAAAGGAAGAAGTTAATGTGTACACATGAACATTTCAGGTTGTTATTAGCAATATTTATAACTATATTTGGTAATTCATCAAGCGTCTCCAAAGTTACTTTGTCAATAGATTCTAAATTGTTGTATTCAAGATCAAGAAAAGAAAGATTCTTCGCATATCTGAGATCAAATGATATATTGCTTATCAAATTATGTGACAAATATAGATTTTCAAGTTTTGTGAGATTGTTGAATATGTCTGGATTTAGATGAATAATTCGATTACCACTAAGATCAAGTGAACGAATATTCTTCAGTTGTCCAATTATATCCGTGTTATTATATAGCGGATAACCAAGATAATTTTTCGATACGTTCAAAACTTTCAAATTTGGAACATGAGGAAATACTTCAAACATTCGTTCAATCAAAACCGGAAGATTTTCAGTCATGTCAAGATATTCAAGTTTACTTGATGAAAGAGTTATCGTTTTGTTCTCAAGAATAGTATCATCACAGTCAATATTATTTTGTTTTAATCTATTTTCAATCACCTGGAAATAGTCAGAAACTTGATAACGTGTAAACATCAATTCGCATATAGAGATAAAATCACTAGCAATTTTTATTTGTGGTGTTGATCTCTGAAAAAGAGGCTTCATTCTAGCAACATTATAATCTTGTAAAGGGCGATTAGATGCTGACATTCGACTTATATCAACATAAATCAAATTGTTTAAGACTCCACTAAGTATAAGGAGTGGAGTATAATTGCCATATAGAAACATGTTATGTTGAACAGAAATATACTTTATGGACTTTGGCCAATGAGCAACAGAGGGGATATCTATGCGAACGATGTTGTTATTTTCTATTGTTAAAAGCTCAAGCGATGTGTTTGATAAGTGTTTTACAAAACTTATAGTTAGTGAAGAGCAAAAATCAAATACAGAATGATCATATAAAGTATTTAGATTTAGTTTTTTCAATGTCTGGCTTCCTGCAAGTCCGCTGGTAATGTTAGGTACAGATTCCATGCCAAGATTTATATTCCATGACATATCAAGAGAAGTTATCTTCTGTAATGATTTAAAGCTGTCAAAGTCGACCTTTTTGATTGAACAGTTAGATAAAAATATGTTTTGAACATTCATTATATTTTCAAATAAATATCCGCTGATATGTGGAATGTTGCATCTGCCATATTCCCCCGACATATATAATTCGGTCAAATGTGGTAATTTGGGCAATACATGTGTCCCTAGCCCGTCGATCACCAGCGTTTGAAGATTAGTTAGATATTTCAATGCTTCCGGGTAATGTTCACTTGTCTTGATATTAGACAAACTTTGTTTGATATCGAGGAAGATAAGTGAGCGAAGCAGTTTAAAAACATCAGCATGTATGTTGTTATATCTTATACAGTTTAAACTTAAATCAAGCATTTCTAACTTTGGGAGTCCATCAAAATCCCCCTCACTCAGTGTATCAATGATATTTCTAGCAAACGACAATTCTTTTAAATTTCTATACCTTTGCAATGATGTTCTATTGACTTGAGTCATTTTGTTTCCAATCATGTTTAAACAAGTGATGTTTAGTGGGAGATTCTTCGGCACATCTGTCAAGTTGAGATAGCTGCAATCGGTACAGTATTTGATAACGTTGTCATCAAAATAACTCTTTGTCTCACAATTTCCAAATGCTCCTTCATTCAACGTTGCGAGGTCTACCAAAGGCAAGAAGAATGTCCAGGTAACCCTATAGAAAATATTGATAGATATTATAAAAACATGATTATTACATTTCAACTGTGCTGTAGAATGAAACGATATAAAAAGTTGTACCTCTGTGATTACTAGATTAGCTGATCAGAAGTTCTTACTATTTAACAAAGAGCTGGGCGTTAAGTTATTTCATAATTTTTCTTACGCGAGAACTTCAAAAATGGCGATCTGACCATTACAGGTGATTGCTTACACAGAGATAGATACCAATTTAAATGGGTTATATTTCGAAAGCCATTAACACTTGAAGGCATATACACTTTTAATCACTTTTATGTTTCTGTATTACAATGTTCCGTGATTGAAGAGAAACAATTTTGTAAATGATATTTTGAAATTGTTTCTGACAAGTAACGAGTTTGACCCTTTTTCCGAGTTCTTTGTGACGTAGCTCATACACGAGCTGTCTATTGTCTTCATTTGCATGTTAAAATTCGTATACGAACTTTTGTTTAACCGTGGGGTTTTCCGTTAAATATCGTATTTTACGAACAATATCTGATTTTATAACTATACTGTTAAAAGGTTTAATGAAACTATAGAATGCTTGATTTTAGGCCGACAGCAAAATATCTTTACATATTTATTTAATGCAGCTTTAACTGATGTGATGAAGCATGGTCCACATTTCACAGATATCCAAGAAATTTAAATAAGAACTTTGTTTTCGAAACTCCTTTAGATTATTTAGACATGTATACGTTTCAGAAAGAACTTTTAGATTATTTTACAAGTTATGAATACTGTCTTGATTTCCCCGCTTGATTATTTTCGGCTCAGTTATGACCCTTAAATGACCAATTTTCGATTAAAATATGCTTGTCTGCGCTTCTTCACCAAAACCGCTGAGTGATTTCAGTGAAACTTCACAGGATTGTTTGTCACCAAGGCTAGTTGTGAATACTTTCCTGATATTCTGCTTGATTTTATGGCACAGTTATGGCCCCTTAATGGTCTATTTTTGAGTAAAATAAGCTTTCCAAAACAACTGGCACAGTTATGATTTCTTTATGAAGTTATTGGTAATTTTCAAGACATAAGCTTGTCCACCTTAATGGTAAAATAGAGAAAATTAGAATCCCTAAAGAAAGCCAAACACGTCAAAATTGAAAATGTTGCAGGCTCGATATGATTGAGCCTGTTTATTAACGGTACTGTCAAGTGCAAATTACCGTCCACGCCCCCTAGCACCGGCTTAAGAAGAAATGAAATGGTAAAATTTTACTTTGTACGTTTACATGTCCAATAGCTGTGAAATGGGGAAATTTCAGTGAAAGATCATAGTACAGTTATGAACCATATATGGTCAATTTTCGGGTTAAGTAAAAGTAATCTTGTACGCGCTTCATCTCAAAACCCGCTTTGGGAGGGGGGGGGGAGAAAAATTTCAGTGAAATTTCACATGATTGTCACCAAGCCTAGTTGTGAATAGTATCATTATTTTTCAATAGATCAACTTTGTCCATCCTTCATCTCTAAAACCACTTGGGAAATTCAGTGAACATTTATAAAATTGTTTACATGGTGTCATGATTTTCCAAGCCTAGTTGTGCAATGTGCCATAATTTTGTGCATGGAGTTTTTTCGCACAGTTATAGACCCTTGGTGAGGATTTTTTTTAGTCAAATTTGTTGAGACTATTTTTTTACACTTCTAATGGAATTTCAATGAAATTTTAGGAATGATATTTATCACAGGCGGTAGGGCCCGGTACGGTATTTTGGCATATATTTTATATCAATAATTCCTTTCGGGCAAATAGCCCCCGTGCAGTAGTCCTCGGACAAATTTATTACAAATGACACGGTAAAAAATATACAACAACACATGAAAGGGACCATACCTTTTTAAAATCAACATAAGTGACAGCTCTTGTTAGATACTAATTAAGGAACACGACGTATAGTGTGTTATTTCTGTATTATATTTTCCTCAAAAGCGCTTCAATGAGATTATAGTTCAATATTTCAATTAATGAGTTTGGGAAGTATAGTACAGCTTTATGATACTGAACATTTTAAAGAGTTCACTTTATTTATATGTTTTAATATAGTGACACCCCCAAAGTTTTCAAGTATGTTTGTGATTAAATCATTTATAACTGCATGTGATGTCTGTTTCTCATGTTTAATATTTTTAAAAAGTTTATGTAACCGTACAAAAAATAACCTTTTTATTAAATTTTACAATCAAGAAAGAATATTTACGTAGCTGCACTGGTATATTGATATACTATATTGTATGTGTTTATAAATCGATATCAATTTAACTCAATACATAAAACAATAAATCAAGAATAAATAGTGATTAATATATACTGCATGTTAGCCTGGGATTCAGGCGTTGATAGTTTTTGCTTATTTATAACATTTTTTTTTCATAACATATGCGCTAAAATATTCCGTATTCGTTCGTCGTTATGATAGTATCAACGTGTCGATTTGCCAAACAGAAACATAACATAAAATCGACAGACTGGAACCCAGGCTAACATTTTGCTAGTAATTTATGGTTATTTTATGATCTGATATATCATAAATACCAGGATGTCCTCAGGCATTTTCACCGAACTACCAGGGGCTTAATAAGGCCCAATTCCAAGTACAAAATAGCCCCCTTTCAGTCATCAAAATTTTAAGCACTGGCCCAGTGGCCCCATGGTCCATGGCCAGTGTATATTAGTTTGAGCCAGTGTAAGTTTTAAGAAAATTAAGTTAAATATATAGTAGAATAAATTCAAAACTGGAATTCGGGCTAGTAAATTCAAAATCTTAAATTCATTGACTGATTTTACATAACAATCCAACAGCAGCCCAAAAATATAAAAATTTTACAACAATTGAGAAAAATTGAACTGTTTGAAATTTCTTACATGAACTAATATGATTATATTATGTATCTAAAGTCACATATATATGTAAGGTATTCAACTTTTAAAATTTCTTAAATTCCCTAAAGTGTCAATTTTTTTTTCCAATTTATAACGAGCCGTTGCAATGTACTATTTTTTAATATTGTCTTAAATTATAAACACACCCCATAACTGGTTGCAAGTAGACAAGTTGATTCGGGGTAGAACAATAGTCCACTTGGTTAAGTTTTTTATCCAGATTCCAGTATTTGATTATAGTAATTATTTCATTGAAAATTATGTCAGAGACATAGAAAGAAAGTTTACATATCTTGGTAATCCGGTTTAAAACTGAGATTTATATAGTTACACGGGAATTATTTTCCATGATTTTAGGAACATGACCCATCATGTGACCCATGGAATTGGGAATTTCAGCAATGTTTTATAAAAAATTGTTGATGTTCTTAGATGTGTGATAAGTCAAGGTAAAATTTCAAGGTCAACATGACTTTTATTAAAATACATGTGAAATTTGAAGTATTCAACCTATGCAATCATTTTTATTTTATTTACTTATTTATTTTTTTTTAGGGAGGGGGGGGGTATTGAATTACTGTAATTTAATTTGACATAAATCGTTAATTATAAAAAAATATACTTATTAATCCTGAAATTTTATTTTTTAGGTTTTTAACTATGAAGCTGGAAGAAGAACACACAAAGTTCCACCTGAGCGCCAAAATGTTGTTCGTCAGGCAGTACTTGGAAGTGCAGAATCTCTGGCAAAGTCAATATTTGAAAATGAGACATTGCGCCCTGCTTTAGTGAATGTTCATGGAAGTGTTATTAAACAGGAATTGACAAACATTTCAGCCAGAACAAATTGTAGTATTTTAAGAAGTTCTTCAGTTGAATCTTTGAAAGAATTTAAGTGGAATTCTCTAGAGACAGAGCTGAGAGATAATACACCGGTTCTCTTTCAGACTATATTAGAGTCCATGAACCACAAAACAAAGAAAAAATCTATAATGCCAGCACTGTTATTTGCGTTGTCAGTTCTTATTAGTACATTTTGTAGTGAAATGAACTTAGTGAAAAAAGTAATCAGTGTTGTACTGAAACGTGGTGGTGCTAAGAAGAGACTGTTCAATTCTTTATCAAATCTAAATATTTGCATGAGCTACAGATCAACAAACACACTTTTCAAATCTTTTGGTAAAGATTTCGACCTCAAACTCAAAGAATGGAAAAATCTTGTAGAGTTAGATACTGAAATGGAAAGAAAACTGTGTAAAAATCTTAGTCAAACAGATAATACCTTACAGAAGGAAACATTACAAGCAGAACTTAATAAGCATAAAAGCTCCATGCATCCTGGCTATCAGTTTGTTGGAGACAATGTAGATTTTATTGTTAAGGTAAGACACATGTCTTCAAGAAACCAGAACAAAGACCACCATTTATTTAATTGTGTAGCATACAAAAACAGACTTTCCGGCAACAATTTATCTTACCAACGACATGTATTGGACTTCAATGATTACAATCTAAGTGAACTCTTGCCAACAGTTGACGACAATCAGATTCTACTTGAAAATCTAACACATCATGTGATGAGAATATGGACTGAGAACATTCCAACCCTGAAATTTTGTGAAGAAACTCTTGCTCCATACATCAGCCACAGGTTTATGGCTTATACAAAGAGAAAGACAGAAAAAGTAAGTATAAGTATCAAAGAAACAACTCTACAGTTGTGTACTTTCCAAGTTTTTCAATTATCTCACTTTATTATAAACAAAATAAGGCATTTCTAAAGCATTACTTGAAAAGTATTAATTATTAATGGCATTTCATCTGAAAATTCACAAAATGTTTTATTGTTTAAAAATGTGATGCAGTGTCAAAACACAATGTTATTCTACTTATATAGTGTTTTTTGTTATATATCTTAGTTCATATATAATTTAAGGTTTGTTCCGAGCATAACTTGAAAATGTATAACTTGAATATTTCTTAATATTTCCAATATTTGAATTGCAAATTTTTCATTTATATAATTAGAAATTCATTAGAGTTACACTTTAGTTATTGGTAATGTCATTGTTTTTCATTGTATCATTAGGTAATACTTGGTGTTCTGCCCAAGAATGAGACAAAAATTGACGACATGGTAGAGATTTGTCAGTTTCTTCACAAGTATGTTCCAACTTGTCGAGATGGAGAGCCTGTGAAATGTCTAAGCGGTGGAGATTATTTGACATTTGAACGTCACAAAAAAGCCCAATCTACAATGCAGGATTCACGAACTGCAAGTGAGCGACTAGAAGGTTTACAGGCAAAATTTGAGGAGTTTCACACACAGGCAGAAGTCAATAAGGTACCATTTTACAGATTTTTGTTAAAAATGATCTTTCTTTCATCTTGAAGTTTAGTCATACATTAATTTACGAGAATGCATTTTTTGTTGTTCATAGATTATATCAGGACCTTAATCAAACCTGTTCACTATCACCAAGTGATTCAATATCTAATGGAAAGATAATCCTAAAGTCTGTGTTTTGAGTTGTGTTCATTTTTTGTTTTGCCCTGATTACATGTATGTTAAGGTTAATTTCTCAAAAACTATCATAGATACCTTAATTATTAACTTGGAAAACTTTTTAATTATTAATATTAGAATGCATTTCTGAACCTGAATGACAGATAACCCTGAAGTGCATTTTAGCTAAATTATCTCCCTTTTTAAAATTTTACAGCTCCTTATCTTTAAAAAGAAGAACTTAATGTATTTAAATATTGCTTTGTTCTTCAGGTTGTCTGGAATTTGTTGTACAATACAGCATCTGCTGCTGATATTGGTACTCTGTATGCTGCACGCAATGCTGTGGATGCCAGAAATGTGACAAAGGATCCAGGGGACAACTTCTATGCAGCGTCTTCTTTACTAGACAAGTATACCGAGGCATTAGTAATTGCAGGTAATATATTGTAATATGAAGTATGTGTGATAAGTTTTCATTTTAGAATGTTTGTTTTGTTTTCTGTTTTGACTTTGTCAGACTACATGAGCAAATCAGCTTTTCACAACTTTGAAGGCATAAATGTTGTTCCAGTTCATGGAATGTATAACTTGCTAGATATTTTAAGCATAATGTACATGTAAACTGTACAGCTTGTGAGTTCGAGCTCAGCTGGTACAGACTACAAAGTGATTTTACTTAAAGCTTACACACTGATGAATTGTTTCCTCCAAAATCACAGTGATTTGAATTTATAAGCATAAACTTTAGCATGAAATTATAGTGCTATGTAAAACCGTATTTTTTAATTTAAGTTTCTGTAAAGACAAAGGATCATTTCTTTTTGAGGAAATCGATATTTAAGCCTCTTTTTTGCAGGAGGATTGATGACCCTGAACCTGGACTCGATCAGTGGGGAACTTGTAGAGGAAGACAGGCAACCAGAGTTGATAAAAGAAAAAGCTATCAAATTCATTAAAGACTTTTGTATACCGGAAGTCCCTGATTCAGACATTGAAACAAGTGCGTTGGATTGCACATTGTGTGGGCGCAAGTATGTTCGC